GGAGTGATCCCTGAGCAGAGCCAGGAATAAGCCCTGAACACAGAGCCAGGAGCACTGCTGTAAAACAAACAAAAAAGCAGATATTACAAAAGTCATCCTTGAGCAGCTGGTTGATGAAAATGTTGATTTATTTTTATCTTCAGGGCTTACTAATTTATACACTGTGTTTGGGTCATTCAAACCTGCTTCTTGGATTTTTGCCTTCTGCAGCAGCTCACAGTTCTCTGATTAAAGGCAACAAAACAATATGTATAATTCAAGTCTGACTGAGTGAATAGATACTTCATGTTGTATTAAGGTAAGAGGCTTGACGGATGGGGTCTGGGTAACAGACCCCATTATGAGGTGTGCGACTGTGGGAAAATGTACTGAGGAAATCACAAGCTTAGTGTGTAACACTGTCCTAAAAATTTATTGAGATACTATACTCAAAGCACCTGGAACACAGGTATTTAGTAAATATTGGCTTGTCACCCTCTGCCCTTTCCTGTAAAGAGGACTTACAGTAGCCGAAACAGAAACACTTCAAAACAATTCTTATTTGTGTACTCAGGCAAACACACACACACACACACACACAATCTATAATTAAAGAATTTTTAGATTAGAGTTTATTGCAGATACACCTTTTCCCCCCCCTTTCCCTTTTTTGGTTTTTGGGCCACACCCTGAAGTACTCAGCACTTACTTCTGGCTCTATGTTTAGGGATCACTCAGGGCGGGGGACAAGATGGGAGTGCCAGGGATTGCATCGAGGTTAGCAGCATGCCAGGCAAGCACCCTGCCCGCTGTACTCTCTCTCCAACCCCACTATTTGATTTTTAACCTCGGAAGGACAATTCTTGGCCTCCTGAAATCTCTTCAAAGTGCAATCAGCACTAGGGCAGGGGAGAGAGTACAACTCAGCATCTGCTTGGATTGTGGGAGGCCCAGGTTCTATCCCTTCTAACAGAGGTTCCTCCCCCCCACACACCCCTAGGAACAGACCCACCCTCAAGCACTGGTCTGAGCACCCCCACCCTAAAATCATGGGGTGTGGCTGCCCCAAACTGAAACAATTCTACCAGCCCCTCATTTAATTCCATCTGCCAATGACAAGCGCAACTCTGGAATCCAATACTGCAAGTTCACAGGCAAGGTGCAGCAGCACCCCCTTTATCTGGCTGCCCTGACTGGTCACATACTGTCCATTCCCAGAACCATTTAAGCGCTATACATCACGCCCCCCCTTTCCCCCTAGAGACTTGTACTTGCTGGGAACACGGGAAGCCACTTGTAAGATCTGTGGTTATCGACTCCAGATAACCACATTTATTACTGATCCGATACAGCTAATCTACCGTCCATAGTCCTTTTTTGTCAACTGAGCTAGTCCTCTCCTTTATAGCAAGTTTGTTTCCTCTACTGCCAAGTCGGGAGGGGGCAGAGTCGCTTTTCCCTGTCACAGTAAAAGGTAACTGACATGGCTCGTTACTCACCACGTTACGTTGCTAACATCAAAACTAAAAAATGCCCCCACGCACAGATCAGAAAACGAAATTCTGTCTCCAAGAACGCGTTGATTTCCCTGGTCCCAGCAGTCGGTGCGCTCTCCGCCCTCCCACGAGAGGGTGGGAATCTTCTTCCCTCCAGTTGCAGGGCAACGCGCTTCCGACCCCCAAACCCACCCAGGATAATGGAACGCGAGACCCAAGCCAGAGAACGCCGGCCGGGCCAAAGCCAAGGCCGGGCAGGGGGCCTCCCCGCTCCCACCAGCGCTGCTCGCGCGGCGTGGGTCTCTGCCCACTGGACCCGACCCGCAGTGGCCGCGCGCGAGCGGGACCCCCGAGAGGCGGCTGGCTTCCAACGCACTTCTTAAAGATCAGGACTGCTACTGGCACCGCGTGCGTGGTTGGGGCGGGAGGTGCGGGGACCGGGGCGCGCACGTCTCGCCAGCAGGAAGGCCAGCCAAGCGAGGGGGTGGCGGCGCGCGGAGGGTCATCCCCGACTCCACCCGGCCGGCGCCCCCTGCTCCGAGGCACGCCGCGGGACGTCAGGGGTCTGGAGGAGCCACTGCACGAGGGCCAGAGCGAGGACCCTCGGGGGTCCCGGGCGGCCCCGCACACCAGCCGCGGGGCCGGGGGCAGGGCGCGCCGGTCCCGTGCGCCCGGGCTGGGGCTCCCGGCGCGAGTGCGACCGGTCCCTTACCGAGCGCTGGGCACGTCCACCGGTCCGAGGCCGCCGCCGCCGCCGCCGCCGCCGCCCCCGGCGGGGCCAGCGAGCACGTCCCCGCCGTATTTCTGTTCCATCCCGGGGCTCAGGGGCCGCCGCCGCTGTCCCCGCCGCGGGGAGGACGCATGTCTGGCGCTGCCGCGGACCAGCGGGCGCAGGCGCTTCACTCCCCCATGGCAGCGCGGCCGTCCCGGGCTCGGGCTCCCAGTCCCCGGCGCGGCGCGGGCGCTAGGCCGCGGGCAGTTCCGGTAGCGCCGGCTCCCCCAGGGCCGCACCGCGGCGGACGTTGCCAGGCCACGTCACCGGCCCAGCAGCCCCACACCCCGGGGCCGGCTGCGCCTGCGCACGGCCCGGCCCGCGCCGCCTTGGCCCCGCCCGCCGAGGGGCGGGGCCGGGAGGGAGCGAACCTTGGCCCTCCAGGGGCGGCCCTCCTGCACCTGTCCCTGCAGCGCCCCCTGTAGGCTGTCTGGGATGCAGTGGGCGCGGCGGAGGGGAGTATGGGAAAGGCACAACGTGCGATTGAATTTATTTTATTTGATTTTACTTCTATTTTTTTAATTTTAATTTAATTTCCCCCATGTGTTTATTTTTTTAATTAAATCACAGTGACATACAGAGTTGTTCCTGATTGGATTTCAGTCATGTAATGTTCCAACATCCATCCCTTCATCCCGTGTACAAATCCCACCACCAATGCTCCCAGTCTCTCTCTCTTTCTCTCTCTCTCTCTCTTTCTCTCTCTGAATTCAAAGTTGACTGGATTTGGGAGGATTTTTGTTTGCTTGGGTTTTTCTGGCGGGGGGAGAGGTGAAAGATCACACCTGGTAGTTCTCAGGGCTTACTCCTCTGCACTCAAGGATCACGCCTGTCAGCGTCAGGGGTGAACCATGTGAGGTGCCGGTTGGCCTTGTGCAAGGAAAGTATCTCACCTGCTGTAGAATCTCTCCACTCCTAAAATTGACTGTTAAACTGTGCTGCTTAATCCTGGTACATCTGCAAAATTAGGCCAGGGAGGATTAACCTACTAGGGTCATTTTTCTAAAAACATTTAATACTACTTGCTAAAACATTAGGAAGCAGCTCTTGGGTCTGTCTTGGTTTAAATATCAGCTCTGCCACCTAGTAATTGTGTCATCTTACTGCAACTTTTCAAATTTAATTAATTTAGTTTTTTTGGGGGGGTGGCCACACCCAGCATTGTTCAGGTACTGATTCTGGGCTTGTGCTCAGGGCTGACCCCTGGCCCTGCTTGAGGGACCATACACTGAGTGTGTATTTGTGTGTGTGTGTGAGGGGGGGCAAATCAGAGTGGGTGTCCCAAAAGACAAGCACCTATTCCCTGTACCATCTCTTCACTTGCTGAACTTTAACATCTTATCTGTCAACTGAGTTATAATATTCATATGAGGAGGCGGATGGGAGAATATTACAGATTAATATGTGACAAGTTAATATGTAACTGGTATGTAGAAAACAAATGTTAGCTATTTTTATTACCCTGGGAAATTTGGAGGCTGGAATTTTCAAAATAAAAGTGGTGTTCTGATCAGTGAAAAGTATGATTAATTTACAATACGTTTTTTAATATACACAAAGAGTCTCAGTAACAAAAGAACAATCTCTCTCTGTTGGGACTTCGTAATCTGTTGGGGAAATATTTAGTAGTTGGAAAGCAAGGTATGTTTGCCGTATTACACATGAAAGGCACAGATGTTAAGGTTTCCTAAATAAGGTGTGAAGTGGGTTTAACTGGAAAGGACTTGCTAAGAAAAAACTCTGACTTAGAACATGGATACAGTTTTGGATGTGGGAGAAAAGGCATTGTGGGAAGACATATTCTGTGTTTCCTGTGTCAAACACAGGCATTAAAGGCTAAAATTACAGGACTGGAGAGATAGTACAGGGGTTAAAGTGCTTGTCTTGCACACAGTGAGACTCTGTTTAATCCCTGCCACCACATATGGTCCTCTGAACATCACCAGGATTGATTCTGAAGTGCAGTTCTGTAAGTCCTAAGCACTGCCAGGTGTGGTCCAAACACACACACACACACACACACTTTTTTTTTTCTGCCTTTTCGAATCACACCCAACACAGGGGTTACTCCTGGTTCATGCACAGGAATTACTCCTGATGGTGCTCGGGGATGGGACCATATGGGATGCTAGGAATCAAACCCGAGTTGGCCTGTGCTAGCAAACAGCCTACCTGCTGTGCTATTGCTGCAGTTTCCCAGTCAATCACTCTTTTCTTTCTTTCTTTCTTTCTTTCTTTCTTTCTTTCTTTCTTTCTTTCTTTCTTTTCTTTTTGGGTCACACCTAGCAATGTACAGGGGTTACTCCTGGATTTGCACTCAGGAATTACTCCTGGCAGTGCTCAGGGGACCATATGGGATGCTGGGAATCTAACCCGGGTTGGCCGAATGCAAGGCAAATGCCCTACCTGCTGTGCTATTGCTCCAGCCCCCCAAACACAATTTAAAAAAGTAAATTCATTGAAATGAATGCTTTACTTTTTCCTTTTAAAAATTTTTTTGGGGTTATACCTGGTGGCATTCATGGTTTACTCCCAGTTCAGTACTCAGGGATAAATCCTGGCAGCACTCAGGGGACCAAATGTGGTGCCAAGATTGAATCTGTGTCAACTACATGCAAGACAAGAGCCCTGTCCATTGTACCATCTCTCCAGACCCTAAAATAGTGTTATTTAAAGAAACATAAAGAAGTGTGAAGGGAGAGAAGATAAGATCAATATGTGTTCAAGAGAGAACATGGACTTCTCTGGAGGGAAAAAGCCAATTTTTCCCCACAACTTTGCTTGTCATTCTTATGCAAGGACTATGCTAATCTTTTCTGTATCATTCCAATTTTAGTGTGTTTGTATTGCCAAAGCAAGTACCAGTATTAATTTTATTTTTTTAGGCCACATATGGCAATGTTCAAGGATTACTCCTGGTTCTGCACTCGGGAATCACTCCTGGAAGTACTCAGGGGACATGTGGCGTGCAGGAGATTGAACTCAGGTTGGCCAGCTGTATGCAAAGCAAGCACCTTACCCACTGTGTTGTTTCTCCAGGCCCCAGAAGAAAGTTTTTTAAGCGATATATGTATATGCATACATTTTACTATTTGAGGTAAATAATGCAGTCATACTTGTATTGAAATTTTATATCAAAACATTTCATTGAAGTGATATTGCTTTACAATATTACATAGTTTTCAGTTGTAGGGTTATCTTAAATTTATTTTTTTATAAAGATTCTATGGTTTACAAAGTTGTTCATCATAGAGTTTTTTTCAGGCGTACAATGTTTAAACACCAATTCCACCATCAATATCCCGCTCCCTCTATCAATGTTGCCAGGTTCCCTCCCAACCCCCAGTCTGTCCCCTTGGCACCCATATTGCAGAGTTATTTTATATTACTTGCTCTAACAAAACTTAAAGGACCAGCAAATAGAATTATTAGAAAACAAATCAATAAAGTCAGTTTGTGATGACTGATTGCTATATGATTTTTGCCTATATAAATAAAGAAATTCAAATAATTTTTAATTGTCATTTGGTGGGGGTAATACCACACTTGGTAATGCTCAGGGGTTACTCTTTTTCACTCAGAAATTACACATGGTGGTGCTCAGGGACCTATATGGGCTGCCAGGGACCGAAACCTGGTTGGCTGCATGCAAGGCAAACGCCTTCCCTGCTGTACTATCACTCCAGCCCCAAGAAATTAAAATAATTTAATACAATATAGCATATTGCCTGCTCTCACTACAGAACTAAGTTTTAAACTGGTATCGAAAAGATCTGACATTAAATTCTATTTTGGGTGACTGGAGTGATACTACAGAGGGTAGGGTGTTTGCCTTTCACACAGCTGACCAAGGTTCGATCCCTGGCACTTCATATAGTCTCCTGAACCCACCAGGGGTGACCTAAGAGCACAGAGCCAGGAGTAAGCACTGAGCAGCACCAGGTGTGGCCCAACACCCTTCCATCCCCAATTCTACTTTGTTCTTGGAACTTATTGTGGTATTATGTGTACCCTGTCACAAATAAAACTTTTTTTTTTAAAGGGCCCAGTGGGTAGGACACTTGACTTGCTTGTATATGGTTGGCCCAGGTTTGATTTCTGGCACCCCGTGTGGTCCCATAAGCCCTGCCAGGAGTGATCGATGAGTACAAGGAGAGGAGTAAGCCCTGAACATGGGATGATATCGCCCTCCTCCCTCCAAAAAGAAAACCTCTAAAAAGAATTCCTTGCTAATCTATTTTAGAGTTTTCATGAAATAGGCAATACCTACAAATGTAAAATATAGCACGTTAAGAGAATTAAGAAAACTTTAATGGAAAAAATAAGCCTATAAAAGCACAGCGTGGTTTTTTGTTGTCGTTGTTGTTGTTCTTTTGGTTTTTTGTTTTTGTTTTGCTCTTAGGGTGACACCCGGCGATGCACAGGGGTTACTCCTGGCTCTGCACTCAGGAGTTACTCCTGGCGGTGCTCGGAGGAACCATATGGAATGCTGGGAATCGAACCCGGGTCGGCCTCGTACAAGGCAAACACCCTACCCATTGTGCTATCGCTCCAGCCCCCAGTACAGAGTGTTTTATTTTAAGAAAGGTAATACTGGTTTTATAAGAGCATTATATGTTATATGTCCTCTTCGGGGCCCCTTGGAGGGGAAAGGGTTGAGTTTCCCTCCCGGACCAAGGCTCTGGCAGCTGAAGACCTGAAGAACCAGCCACCACCATGCTGAGACCACTTTCCACATGCATGAAGGTACCAGCGGAGGAACAAAGGCATGCGGGTCCCGGGGCTGATATCTCCAAGCCTGCTAGGATCGGGGCTGAGCATCCCTCACCCAGATCCTCCAAATTCCAGTAGGCAGGAGTCACACCCACCAACTGGCCCCCTGGCGCCGTGTAATCCCATCAGCGGCCAAGACCCAGAGACGATAAAACCCAGCTCCCCGAAGCGCGAAGCTGCATTTGCGCGACATCTTATCATCTCATTCCTACTTTGAACAAACTGGCAGGCTACCGAATGTAACCTGCCCACACGGCAGAGTCTGGCAAACACCCCGTGGTGTACCCAATATGCCCAATACCACTAACAATGATGGGTCTCATTCTCCTAACCCTGAAAGAGCCTTGAATATGGCACTTTTTAAAAAATCTCAGGGCTAGGACGAAGGAGATGTTACTGGGGCCTGCTCGAGGCAATCGACAAATATTATAGATACTGCTTAAGTGTCAGAATTAGTAAGTAAAAAAACTCTAGGACAATCAATGTATATGATATGTTGATTCATTATTGAAAATATATATAATTGCTTAGCAAGCTAGGAGTAAACATACTTTAAAAAAAAAACAACATTTCTTAATCTGGGACTAGAGTGATAGTACAGCGGGTAGGGCGTTTGCCTTGCACCTGGCTGACACGGGTTCGATTCCCAGAATCCCATATAGTCCAGGAGTGAAGATCCAGGAGTAACCCCTGAGCATCGCCAGGTGTGACCCAAAAAGAAAAAAAAAGAAAAACAAAAAACATTTCTTAATCTATTAGAGGACAGCCATAAGCACCACGAGTGAGAGCCTACTCGATGTCACATGTTAGGAAGTTTGTTCTGTCTTTTAGGAAAGCTCTTCCAATGCTTCTTGCAAAACTGGCTTCAAGGCTGTGAATTACCTGAACTGTTGCATGTGCACGAAACTATATAGTTTCTTTCTATCTGAATGATAATCTAGGTGGATAGAGTATTCTTGGTGAGGTGTTCATTTTGTTGAGGTTTTGTTTGTTTGTTTGTTTGTTTGTTTTCTGTATTCCTCCATACTCTTCTGGCTCAGAGTCTTGTCTGATAGATCTGCTGTGACTCTCATGGGCCTTCTTTTGCATGTACATTCTTTTTGTATCTCCATGCTTGCAACCTTTTGTCTCTGTCTAGCTTTTGTTATTTTGAGTACAATGTGTGTTGGACTTTTCTTGGTTGATTCTGTTTTCACTGGAACCCTTCAGGCGTTTTTTGGATCTTGGTACCTGCATTTCTCACTCTGGGAAATTCTTTGTTTTGTTTTGCTTAGGGCCACACCCAGCAAAATGCTCCTTGGCTCTGTACTCAGATATTATTCTCATTGGTGGTCAGGGGGCCACCATCACCACAGAATGCTGGGGATGGAATCCGAGATGGTCATGTGCTAGGCAAACTCTCTACTCCCTATACTTTTGCTCTGGCCCTGTTATATTTTATTTGGTTTTACTTACTTTTGTACACTGATAAATGTGGAGATGAAGTATTTTCTTTCAGTTTAACTTTTAGATAGTTGGAAAACATAAGAGAGGGAACAAAATTTTGGAGAACCTATGTACAAAACTATATTTTGTTTCCTATGACTTTTCTATGTCCCTCTCAAGGTTGACATTACCTTCTTTTACAGAGTTTAACTAAATATTATATAATCAGTAAGGCATGACTCCCCACTAACAGGGCAAAGTGCACTTCAAAGTCAGCTGTTTTGCTGCGTCTTGATTGCGTGATCACCATTAATTCCAATGACACAGGAAACCAGATGGGAAGAGTCTCCTTAGTAAGCCGCATCCAGGATCAGAGTATCACATGGTCCCCCCCCACACACACTCACCCCACAAGAGAACTTCACCTGATACTCTTCCTGTTTCACAACGGAAAAGGAAAATAAGACAATGCTTAATTCCGTGTCCTGAGCAGGAAGGAGCAACGGATGTACGAATGCTCTGGAATTCTCTGAGAAACCTGAAGCTTCATATTAACAACCAGTAGCAAGAGAGGGAAGTGCTGCATTGTTTGAAATGGTTTCAGATCTGAGTTTTTAGGGACCTAATGTGTGTCCTCTCTCTAGTGGACTTTAAAGGTGAGCAGTGAAAAAATAAAGAAACAGCAAGATAATGAGGAAATAGAAATACTTCATACTTGGGCATTGTCAGTCAGTCAGTGGACTAAAAAATATATATCATCATTATCATGGTGCCTTAATAAAATTAAAAGAAAAATTTAAAAGAATACTTGGGCCATACCCAACAGTGCTGAGGGCATTCAGGGGACCCTATGAAGTGTTGAGGACTGAACTGGGATTGGCTGTGTGGAAGGCAAACGTCTTACCCCCTAATATTATCTCTCTAAACCCAGCAGATCAAAATTTATGGTGGTCTTGAAGTTCATTATAATCAAGTGTTTTAGCAACTTATCCTTTATTTATTTATTCAACCCTGAGTAGTCAAAATGGAAATTTTACTTGGAAGAGACTCCCAAACAGTGCTCAGGAGGTCTGGCGATTCTGGCCAACCAGGCCCAGTGGTTCAATGCAAGAACTGGAGGATGTGATGCTGCTTGGGCCCTTCAGTACCAGGGATTGACCCAGCACTTCATGCATTCAAGGCAAGTGCTCCAGCCCCAGCCCAAGATGTGGGAGATTAGCATCACCCCACGGAGTTCTGTCAAGTCCCTTCTCTGACAGTATTCACCCCCACCCAACAGGGAAAACAACTTCTTAATTTTTCTTTCACCACAGAGCAGAGCACCCTGTTCTAGAACTTCATATACACACACAATCCCACAATACGTTCTTTCAAAACTTCGTTCTCACTCAGTACATTTTTGAGATTCATCAGTGTTGCTGCATACAAGAGTAGTTTGTTACTATTACTTGTTATTATTATTATTTTGTTTGGGGGGCTAAACCTGGCTGTACTCAGGGTTTTGCACCTGACTCTGCACTGAGGAGTCACTCCTGGCTGGGCTCAGAGGAGCATATCGGGTACTGGGGATCAATCCTGGGTTAGCCATTTACAAAGCAATTGCCCTATTTGTTGTACTCTCTGGCCCCAAGCATTTTCTTGTATGTGTTGCTAGATATTT